ATGTCAGACCACCTAATGGGCTTGAGGCAGTCCCTATGTGTGTGCAGCCTTGGTCAGAAAGTTCCTCCTCTGACAGGGATGAAATCTCCCTTCGGCACACATCAAGCCTCCTGTTCTCTATAGAGAAACTGAATTTCATTTTTATTTTTTTGTTTTACTTGACTTGATCTGTATAAGTAACATAAAATTCTTTCCCTTTCTTAAAAAGCTAAAGCAGTATAGCCAAACTCCCCTTTCCCTACTTTGCTTTTATCTGGGGATCCCATTTCTTTGTGTCAACTGGCTAGCAGCCAACCCTCTGTTTCTCTCCCCTGTCTCTGCCCTCTCTATTTCAAACCTTCTTTGGCTAAGTCCTCATTTCCTTTCTCATGTTATATGGCTTCTTTTAGGATAGTTTTTAGTAACCTAATTGGCTTCCTCTGACTATATCCAAATCCAAATCATCAATGTTAACCTTTTGCAATGTGTTTTCATTTCTTAAGAATTTTGCTGAAGTGCCTGCCCCTCACTGAACCCGGAAAAGAGAGAAATAAAATTATTCTTTAATACAATCTTGCAATATAAATAAAAATCTAAAATGCATAAATTCTTTGACCCAGAAATTCCACTTATACAGGTACACTAAAATATACACCTAATCCACACACATACACATGTAGATGTTCACATATTTGCTTGTTAAGTACTTATTCCAGCATATATCCAAATGTTGGAATAATACATATGTGGTTCAAAAAACAGGAAGTTGGTATATTTGAGTTAATTTGGCAAATTGGCCAAGAGACGTTGCTAAAGGGAAGAAAGCAATTTGCAGAGAAGTATGTATAGGTGACTCCCGCTTATGTTAAAAATGTTAAAATAGGCAGAAAATAATTATTTATTGTATTGATATAATAAATGTTTAGAAGACTACATAGAAAAGTTTTGAGTTGTTATATTTGGGAAGAGAGAATGAGGTATGGTAGGAGGATAAGAAGAAAGTTGAACTTTTTTTCATTTAATACCTTTTAATAGCACTTGAATTTTTTGCTATAAGTATGTATTACTTTTATATTGTTAAGTTTATTTCACAAGGACATCACTAATATGGCAGAATAGGAAGCTTCTGACTCTGCCTCTACCCAGAGACACTAAATTAACATCTATCTATATCAGTTCCCGTTGAGAGAAAGTCAGAGATCAGTTGAGGGACTCCTGCGCACTGAGCAACTGAGAAAATGTATGCATTGTGGGTTTGAGAAGCTGAAATATACATATCAAATAGGTAAGAGAAGCTGAGGCACACTAGGCCATGGCCCCTCCACAGACATGCACCATGTCTGTGGGAAAGGAATACCCAACACCCAGTTTTCCCCTGTGTAGAGGAAGGTCTGGATCTCACACATAGGGCTCTGACCCCAAGTTTCCTCACAGTTTGACTCGTAATTCACACACTGTTAGGGCAAAAGGGATTAAACACAGCCGTATTCCTTTAGACCCTAGGAGATAAAGCAGCAGTTTTACATGGTTACACAGGATCTTTAAGGGATTCTGTCCCCTTGCGAGCAGTGCCAAAAAGGAGCCTCAAAAACAGAGCTCCTTGTTTCCCTCCAGAAGAGATTTTAAAAACAGCCATCCAGTGGCTAATTGAAGATACGAACTTCTAACTAATTTACACTGGGGAACTGAAGAGGCAATCATCAACCCACCACCAGCATGGGAGGAAACTGTACTCATACTGAGAGCACTAGCTTTTACAACATCCACTTAAGGTAGTGCATCATAAAACCGGTAGCTCTAGGAGCAGAAGGGACTATTAGGCTAAGAAGGTATCTTCTTGGCCTAATAAAGTATCATACAAGTACCTCCAGGGACTTTATCCTCCTGGAGCTATGCAGAAAGGGCCTTAAAAAAAAGAAGGAAACATTTCTTCCTGTTTATCCCCAGAAAGGGTTTAGGACACACATCAACAGCTCTTCAACAACAACAACAACATAGAAAGTATAAAAAGGTACTAAACAGTAATCATAAATCTAGATAAAGCTGTCTTCTGAAGGACTCTATCGTAAACCTAGTAGTTCTGAAAACAGAAGGGCCTGTGCATATGTAAGTCTCCTTGATCCCAGAACAAAGAAGTGGTTTTAAATGGGTGCCCGAACACTTCCAGGGACTACACTCCCTTGGGCAGTACAGGAAAGGAGCATGAGCATGCAGCTCTCACTTTCTCTCTAGAAGATATTTATGACACACAGTCCCAGTGGCTGCTTGATGACATGGTTTCTAACGAACTTACAGTGGGAGCTAACAGTGTACAAAAACACTAATTTTTAATAGCCAGAGCCAGAGTTCCGCACTTCATGAGATCTCCTTTGAGCTTACTCCAGAGATAAATCCAGGAATGTCCAATCTTTTGGGAAGAAGTTTGATCATGCACAGAGCACCACAACTTCCATATCCCCCACTTAAGTGACTGTCTCCTTGATGACCTAGCTGTAGAATTTCAGTGGGTCTTTGCAATCCTGAGTGGTTCAAGACAAAAGAAAACAAACAGGTGGATGTATAATGAGCCCATTTCCAGCAGCTGTCTCTCCGGGATCAGAAGGAGTAGCCTGAAAGTGAATACAGATATTTTCCAAAGATATTCTCCCTGGCTTAGGCCAGAGAGAGTAGGAAATAAACAACTACACCCAGCCCAGCCTCGCTGTGAAGTTAGAAAAAACTGGAACTTACATACAACACCCAAACTCACAACACTCAACCTTTCCAGCTACATTTAAGGAGCATGATGCCTATCATACCAGTCTCAGGGTATTGACGAGATGTGGCATATCCTAAGCCCCAGGGGGCCACAAAAACAGAGATAGCAGTCTGGACAAACACTAAGATTTGGGAGGCAGCTTAAATCTCTAGCTGCATGGAATGGTGAAAACCTTCTTCTCCACAACTGCAGTCTAACAAGATGGAAAAAGGTAGATATCCTATCTAATGTGCAGAAACCAACACAGAGAATCAAGGAAAACAACTAGGGGAATATATTCCAAACAAAAGAACAAGACAAATATTCAGAAACTGACCTAAATGAAGCTAAGTTTTGGGATTTATCCTGTAAATAATTCAAAACAATGATCATAAAGATGCTCACAGAGGTTAAGACAGCAATTCAGGAATAAGATGAGAACTTCAACAACAACAAAAATAGAAAGTATAAAAAAGTGCTAAACCGTAATCATAGATCTGAAGAATGGTATAACAAAACTGAAAGATTCATCTGAGGAGTCCAAAATGGACTAGATTAAGCAGAAGAAAGAATCAGTGAACTTGAAGACAGATCACTAGAAATCTTCCAATCTGAGGAGAAAGAAAGAATAAAAAGGAGTGAAGATAGCTTAAGAGACTTATGATACACCATCAGGCAGAACAACTTATGTATAATTGGCATGCCAGAAGAAGAAAAAAAAAAAAAGGCATGGAACATATTTTAAAAATAATGACAGAAACTCCCCAAGTCTCAGGAAGGAATTAAAAAGTCAGATCCAGGAAACCCATAGAACACCAAGTAAGATGAATCCAGAGAAGTCCACACTGCAAAACATCATAATCAAATTGTCAGAAGTTAAAGACAAAGAGAACGGGAAAAAGCAAATTGTCACATGTTTGGGAACACTCATGATATTATTAGTAGAATTCTCAGCAGAAATCTTGCAAGTGAACAAGAAGTGGGATAATATATTCAAAATCTAGAAAGAAAAAGAGTGCTGACCAAGAATATTAAATCCAGCAGTAGCAATGTTCTCTTTCAAAAAACAAAGGGATAATAAAGACTTTCTTAGAAAAGTCAAAGCTGTTTATCACCACAAGACCTGCATTACTAAAAATGCTAAAAGAGTTTCTTCAAGCTAAAGGACATTAGTAACACAATTATGTGAAAGTAAAACACTCACATGTAAAAGCAAATCCAAAACACTCTAACGCTGTAACAACAGTGGATAACTAAATAATATCTCTAGTGTAAAAGCCAAAACACAAAACAGTTAAAAACAACTAAAGCTAGAATTATTTGCTTAAAAAGTATTATAACAAGATACAAAATCTGACATTAATTTTAAAAAACATGAAAGAAGGGAGAGTTTGTGCATGTATCCAAAATTAAGGTGTCATCAGCTTAAATTAAGCTGTTATAAGTATGAGACATTTTATATACGGCTCAGGAAATTACAAAGCACCAGCTATAGTAGACACACAAAAGATAAAAAGAAAAGAATGAAAGTATACCACTAAAGAAAGCCAACAAACCACAAAGGAAGAAGGGAAGAATGAAACAAAAGATCTGCACAAAACAACTAGAAAATGACCAAAATGGAAGGAGTAAATTTATACCTACCAATAATAATGTTGAATGTTAATTGATTAAACTATCTAATTAAAAGATACAGAGTGGCTGGGTGAATCCAACAATAAGACCCAACTCTATCTGCCTACAAGTAATTAAACTTCTTCAGAATGACCAATGCATCTGAGGCCTTATCTTTATGTTTCTCTCCACTGTGCATCCACTGAAACTTGTCCTGAGCATGTTTCTAGTATAACACCTCTACCACTGATTTTTTTCATTAATACATGATTCTCAAGTATGGTCCCTAGGCCCCCAGAATCACAACAGGCCTCTAGATATGCTGAAATGTAACACCTGTCTTCTATTTTTAAGTGCATAGTCTTTACTTTTTCAAATAACTTAGGAATATTATTAATAACAGTAACCATAATAATGGCTATGTGTATGATGCTTACCATGCAGCAGGCACTTTTCTATAAGCTTTAGTCTTCCCAGCAGCCCAGTGGCATAGGAATTATTAACATCCCTATTTTACAGATAAATAAACTAAAGCACTAGGAGGTGAAATAACTCAAAAAAGCAGACTTAAGATTCAAACACAGACAGCTGGGCTCAACAGTCTACAATCTTAATGATTAAACAAAATTATCTCTCTGAGATATTAAAATTTAGTACAGATCTTATTATAGTATTCTCTAATTCTTCATTATCATCATTTCCTTTTTTCACTAAAAAGTAGAAACTGTTAGAAAATGAGGTTGGCAAACTTTTGGTCTTTTCTATGAGAGTCAAACCTTTTTAAAAACCACAACAGTAGATGATGAGATGTTTGTAAACAGAACGTGTCTTAAATTCCTACCTCCAGTGCCTAGCAAAGGGCCGGCTATATGGTAGATGCTCAGAGAAGGAGAAGAGAGGAGGAAATGAGGAAGAAAAGTCTCAGAAAGACGAGAAAGGGAGGAGAAGGAAAAGGGTGGCAGTATGGAACAAAAAGAAAATCCAAGATGAAAGAGGAAATAATCCTAACAATTACCACGTATTACAGACAACTATTTGTTGATTTATCCAATATCAGTAACAAAATGACCATAAAGGCAATCTCTGCTCAAGAAAAGTAGGTACTTGATGTTTAGAGGTTATTTGGCTATGATACCAGGGTCCTCTCATTTAACTTGGATGTTTCAAAAATGAACTAGAAAATGTTCATTTTCATTGTCTTTTTAGATGTGTTCTGCTCCAATACTCTAAAGGGAATATAATAGAAGGTAAAAAGATGTTACCCTATAAGATGCAAATACCTTGGAGTCAGAGTATTTTGAACAAACTTGGAAATATAATAACTGATTACTACACAGCAAAACTACAAATATAGAGCCATTCCTAGTACTGTGTTTGATCCAATATAGCCAAAGTTTTATTACACAAAACAGCAGAGTAAACCAATCTCATTCTAGACATACATTTGTAAAGGCAAACAAATCACCGCTCCCTTAAAAAAAATAAAAACAATGCCAGGAATCCAACATTCATGAGCAGCCATAAAATAACAAACCAACGTGGACAGATTTGTTTAAGTGTTTTCAAGGAAACTAATTTATTCCCAGAGCTTCCAAGAGTTTAATATAAAAAACAGTGACTACATGTTTTGTGAAAACAAGAAAAAATAGCCTTATGGTGTGTATAACTATTTTCAAGAGGAAGTTACATGGCCTAATGAACTGCATCTTGGGTTGAGAGTCAGGAACTTCAATTTTGTTCTTTCTCAAACACTCTCTGACTGTGTGGCTTTGGGTGAATTACTTACCCTCTCTGTGTTTCTTAATTTTTTTAAAAAATTGAGACTATACTGACTACCCAGAAGAAGTATTGTATTCAATGAATGAGTGACAAGAAGAAAGAATCATTCAAGTATGAACAAAGAAGGGCTGTGTCTAACCTGAAACACACATTTTAAGTAGTAGGAAACAGTTCCTTCATTAGGTAGATAATTTCAATAGTTTATTTTTTAATGAATTCCAATTACTCTAAAAGCCATATTTCTAAAATTACCCCAGAAAATTTATGATTCTCTTTTAATATTGAAACTGTCTATTCTTTCACAGAACTTCTGGGTCACCTATTTTTTTGTTATGTTTATAAAATTCCTAATTCACTTTTGATATTGACACCAGGTATTTTTTTGTAGAGCTTCCACATGAGGATTGCCTATATTTTTTGTTATGTTTTCACCATGAGACAGGATGAGAGAGAAATTACTTCAGCATCTGTGTCCTCCCTGTTCTCATCCTAGTTAACTTTTGAATTCTGACTCTGATTTATTTATGACTCACAGTAAAGAGTCAAATATGACAGAATCTAAGAAATCTTTCATAATACCCCATGAAAGCCCAACTAGGATAAGTTCACAGTGTTTTGCACATACTTTCTGGTGTTATCTGCTTAGATGTCTGTTGCTCCATTGACTACAAAATCATCTGTGGTAGAGCATCTGCCTTACCCTTCTTTGTATACACAACACCAACAATAATGTGTGACATATGGAAGATCTTAAATAAATATCTGTTCAGCAAAACTGAAATTTGAGCAGTTAAGTCGGTTTCATCAGGAGAATTGAATCATAAATAAATTTCTCAAATTGACAGTTTTCTAACTAACAGAACCAAGAATCACAGAGAACAGCCTCAGAAGCTTCTTCTATCAAATTGCTGGATAGGAGAATGTAATGAGGCATAGCTAATTTAATAATTTCAGTAACCTCCAATAACTTTCCACTGCTCACAGATTGTCTAAACTTAGAATGGCATGCAACGCCTGTGCAGCTCTATTACAATCGTCTTTGGATAATAAATTCTCTCCAGCTTCCCCTCAACAATGGTAGCTTTGCTTAATGTATACTTCACTCTGGCCACACAGAACCCTATGGCCAACACATTTGTGATCACATCAGGTCTTTGTACAGCCTAGCAAATTTCATAAGGATTTTTAAAGGGAAATGTCTTTATATATGGTAGTCCTTGAAGCTCGAATATCTTCTCCTTTTTCTTCTCACATGAACTCCTCCTACTCACCTTCAGGTCTATCCTCTATGAAGTTCTACCAAAACTCTCCCACCCCACTACTTTATGTACATCTCTCTACAGGAACACATATCATTTGTTTATGTAACTGATCAACAACCTTTGATCAGTTACATAAACAAATGATATGTGTTCTATTCTATGTCCTATTTTTTTATGACCCCAATTCTAATGCATGTATGGCTTTTATTATATGATCATACATTTTTGTAGAATGAATTAATGTTTGTGGGTTCAATTCTTCAAATTAATGTTCTCTTGCCAAGCACCATTTTCTGAAATCTGTATATACCTGGGCTTTGGAGGTTAATGAGCAAATCATGATGACATGGAAAGTAGATTTGACTTGTTCTACAGTAAGCTATCAGAACATCAAAAGCTAGGTTTTAGAGGACAAGGAAATTAGCCATACAGGTTTTGGTGACAACAAACATGTACATATTGAAGCAGGATAAGTAAGATTAGGAGGCCATACTGCCTTGTCCTCTAGTGTGAAGCCCCGTGGGCTCTTTTGCTGTGGGTTCCTTGTGCATCAGCACCCAACTCTTTTGCAAGATAAGCAGTCCTACAGGACACCAGCAGACCACCAGGTAGTTACAAGTGCCTAATACCCAACATAGCTTGGGGAAGAGAAAAAAAACCCTTAGCTTCCTCAGTCTCCAGCCAGTCAGTACCAAAAGCCCAAGAAGCTATTAGCTACAAATTCCTGCCTTGGGGGAAACTAAGGACATTGCCAGCATCCCACATAGGCAGCTAGGCTTGAGTTTTACCTTACAGTGACATTTTCCTTCTTTTAATAGTAAAAAGCACACCCCCAGGTGGAGATTTTATATGTTAATAACACATGTGATTCATGTTAGAGCATGTAGATACTGAGCGCATGCTCCAACTGTATGTCCACCTGTGCATTCTTAATCTCACTGGTATTTATGAATATGTATGAATAGCTTGCATAAAAGGAATCCCTCTTGAGGCACTAGCTGCTGTCAATAGCTTTGAGCAGCCTACTCTGCCTCTCTGAGTATACTTTTGCTTTGCAGTACACTTCTTTGCCTACTCTTACTTTGGACCTCCACTCAGGTTCTTTTGTGTGGCTAAGTCAAGAACCTGAAGCAGCCCACTGACAATGTGACAAAATTGTTTTACAAAATAGAGCAAGTTTATATTGTTGGCTGTTTAAAACAAGTGACCTCTTTCCAGGATGGGATTGCAAATTATAGGGATTAGTGTTTCTGTAGGAAAGTCCTTCCCAGCAGTTTTTGGAAAATTTATGTGTTTCCAAATTCCAATCAACAGAAAAAATAGTTGATAAATTGAGAAAATGCAGAAAAGCATCATATTTTTACTGTGAGAATTAGAGTCACACAGAGATATTGTTTGTTGGAAGGAACCCAGTAATGAAAAGTTGAATACAGAGTGAACATGGATGTCACATGGTGTAGAAGAATAAAGAAAACATTTCTAGGAACTGGGACAGGGCTACAGTAAAAGAAATGGAAGCTAGGTTGGGCCTGAAAGGAATTCATTTGTAATTAAAAAGTGTGCTGTCACTTGTGTAGGAAACACCCTGCTTAGTGTCATGATACAGCTCCCCTGAAGGACCTTCAAAATTAGGTCATTTGATTATAAATAGAACTACCCTAGTTTGCTAGGTTTTGTGAAATAGAAAATAAAAAAAGGACACAAAGTTGCCAAAGAGAATGAGAAAAGTTCAGTATACTGGCTTGTGGGGAGAAACATGTTATCCTTTCCTATCCCATAGTAGTTTTAGCAAAGAGTGATTATACATACCTTCAAGATGTCTTTACTGAAATAGAACAAACTGCATGGCATATTTCCTGCAACTATGTCTTCCCACCATTCTACAGCTCACCTGTTTCTTGGCCCAGGTTAATTCATTAATGGTTTTTTGAGCTCTTAGTGTTACTTATTTCTTAGTGGACTTTGTGCTGTAATGAGTACTGCTTTTACACAAATAATCTGAGCTTCTTATCTTTTTAATAATATATTTTAACATGTTTTTAATAATTAGTAATAATGTACACAAATAAACACTTTCTATATGCTAGACACTAGATTTAGTTTACACATCGTAACTTATTTAATGTTTATCACAATTCGATGGAGTACATACTCTAATTATTTCAATTTTGCAGTATAGGACACTGAGCTCCAAGTATACAGCAGTAAGCTAAGCATCCGCCATGATTCAGACTCAAGCTTACACGATGTCACAGCAGTCTCTTATCCACTATACCATATTGCTTCTTGTCACCACAACTCATTGTTGGTAATCTTGTTTTTCTACAGTAAAATCAAACACATCATGGGATGCTGTTGAAAATGTTTGTGAAACCAGATGCAACAATATCTCTGTCAAGTTCAGTTTTCATGTATACCAAAAAGTCATGCCAACAAACCCCATTGAAAATTTCTCTGGTTCTCTTATCTGCTTGAAAATGATCCATCAGGATGTTGGAACTAAGATGGAACTTAGATATTATCCAATACAGTACTTCTCAAATTTTAGCCGCATCAGAATCACCTTGAGGCTTGTTCATAGTCAGTCACAAACACAGACTGATGGGCCTTAATTTCAGAATTTCTTATTTAGTATCTCTGGGTGGAGTCTTAAAATTTTCAACCCTATCAAATTCTAGGTATTTTCTGCTATCAAAAGCTGCTGACTTGAGGTCAATGCTTGATTTTAGGACCAATGATGTCATCTCACTTAATTTTCAGGTGAGGAAACTGAGGCCTGGGGAGATGCAGGGGCTTTTCCAGAAACACTTAACAACTAAGAAGCAGAGGTAAAACAGAATGCAGTATTCTTTCCCCCTCATTATGTCAACCCTGAAAATAACTGAGAATAAAAATAGCATTGCCTAGAGGAAGTAAGCTCATATACTGCCAGTGGAAGTATGAACTGGTCCAAGACTTTTTGAAAGCAATTAGGCACAATATATTAGGCACTTTTAAATAGTTATACCATTGGATTTCATCAGTTCAGATTTAGCAGACTAGCCTTGGGAATATTTAGACTTCAGTAAATGTTTTAGTGGGGGGGGTGGGGCGAAATATATATATATACATATATGACATAAAATTTATACATTATGTATTTTATTTATATATTTCTACAATATGTTTCTCGGGGAGGGTGAAGAAACTTGTCACTAAGATTCAGTATACTTTTCTTCATTTGCTTGTAGGTAAGAAATGTACTGCTCATGGCCAGAACTATAGAGTTCACACTTTCCTGTCTCTGTCTACCCTTTCTTTGGTCAGAGGCAAGTTCTACCCCCTCATGCTATTATATTCTCTTCCAGGGCCTACAAATGTCCTTGGCCATTGAACCAGGAATCAGATGGGAGTTCCAGACAGACTCTCCAGACGCAGAACAGATAATTGACTGGTAATATGCTGGCCACACTCACCATGAAGAACAAAGAGGCACTAATTCAACCTCCCACAGCACCGGCAATGGAGCATGTATCTCAGTGTCTCATCTCACTTTTCATGGACCATGGTTCCTGACCCTCATTCTCCTCATCAGCACCTGGGTATTTTTTAAATATGTTCTTTAAAGATAAACAAACAAACAAAAAATCTTGTTCTGCAAATAACACCCGATTATTGTCTTTCACTCAGAAGACTGTCTACTCAAATTAATAAAAGAGGATTTGCAGCTTTCATTTTCTGCTTTCCAAGTGAATGACTTTATGTCTAGTTGTTTGGAATGGTGGACGAAAGATCAGGAAAGGGGACTGTAAAAGGGGAAATGGGGGAGAGATGAGATTACAGTATAATGAAGGAAGATAAGCACAGAAAGGGGGAAAACATGCTAATTAATAATGCAAAATAAATTACAGTGCTAAGCAAGCTATATGTATATATAACTCAAGAGTTTAAACAGCATTAGTGAGTCAAATTAAAGGACAAAAGTTTCTCAGAACTCTGCCTCCCCAGGTTTTTCCCTAAAGGTAAATTGTTCAATCTCTTCAATCTCCAGTTCGTCACCTCTAGGGCCAGGTGTAGGTTTTGTGTAGCTTGAAGGGTATTCGCTCTATGGGAGCCTTTTGAAGGAATATAATTCAAATGACAGTACACATATATATGCTTTGGCATCTCCATCCCTCCACGTAACCTCAACCCACTTTGAAAGGTACAAATTCAGCTCGCCCAAGTGAGTCTCTGCCTGCCATTCTCCCCTACGTCTACTGATTTTTATAGTTATATGTTTAGTTATTTGCGTGTCTTTCTATCATTAGACAGCTTACTGAAGTACCTATTTCTACTTCTTAAGAAAGTTAGATATAAAATTTAAAAATGAGCGTCCTTACATATCTTCTCTTTTTGCTCCCAGCTCTGCTATATGAATTTATGTGAGCTATATCAGTACTCTGAAATAATCAAACTTGGTAAGATATACATTATTCTCAGAATCTATAATTGACTTGCATGGTGTATCAATGAAATGATTTTGAAAGCTGAAGACCCATAAACAGCATTGATAATATTAAGATCATGTAAACATTAAAGGCTGCAGAAATACATAGTGTGTAAAATGACAAGTGGGGGAGGGAATGTAATCCTGTGACACAAAAACTGGACTTTTTGAAAGAAACTATCACAAACATTAAATTCAAGAAAAGTATTTACCATATTCCATTATTTGCTCACAAGTATGCCTTTTTAGTTTGCTTTATATTTACATTATAACTTCCTTTTCAGATTTTTTTCTTAGTATTTCTAATTTTCTTTCTTTGTTTCATTCTCTCTTTTTGTAGTTCTCAAGATAATACTATCATGTAAAATCACTAAGCATAGCAAGCTTTCTAAATATGCTGTCTGTTACAGTAATCTCACTTTCTACTTGAGGACATCCTACAGTGAACCCCTGGCTGCCTATTCTGATTTTGAGTGGTTGCTTTCTAGGCCTGCTGCATCATTATGATTCTAAGAATTCTTTTTATAATATTTCTCTACAATAGCAACTGGGTCTTGACACACACATTTCTGTTCTTGGATACCTTTTTGGTTTGGCAGTAGTACATTTCCAAGGAACATTTTAGAGAAAGGAGAAAGCAACATTTTCTCAGACCTACTTGAATAGGTCATTGTTTTGTCCTTTAGTGATTGGTAATTTAATTGGGTATTAAACTTTAAGTTCAACATAATTTTCCTTCAGAATTATGAGGCAATCACATCACTAGTTTTAGCATGCAACGTTTCTGTTTATATATATATACATATATATATTTCATTGTACTTTACGTTGTAAAGTACATGTGCAGATCATGCAGGATTGTTGCATAGGTACATATGTGGCAATATGGTTTGCTGCCTCCATCCCCCCATCGCCTATATCTGGCATTTCTGAAAAGAAATTTGATGCAGATCAAATTTGTATTCTCATCTATATTAGCTGTTTCATTTTTTTCTACTCTGTAGAGTTTGCCATTGGTGTTTAAAAACCTATGTAGTTTATGTACAAATATGAGTAATTTTTTTTCATTTCTGTTTGATATTGCATGCTGTCTTTCAATAAAAAGATTCATGCCTTTTTCCAGCTCAGGAGAAGGATTTTCTTCAAAAATTTTAAAAATTATTTCCCCCTCCCTCTATTTTCTCTGTTCTTAGATTCTGGAACTCCTCATATATGTTTGATCTTCTGAATTAGTCTTCTATGTCTCCATATGTTTATATTACATTTTCTTTTCTTTTTGGTCTACATTCTGGGAAGTGTTCATAAGTTTCTTTCTAGCCTCCTACTGAAAACTTCAGAAATTCTAGCTTTAAATTTGAATAAATCTCTTTTGTTCTTGGATTTCCTTACTAGAAATTTACCTAAGTTTCCTGAGTTATCTTTACTTTCTTCAGAATTAAATGCTTTGTATTTCTTCTCAGGCCCTCTCTTGTGTACTGTTGGCTTTCTTCAACTTTCTTGGTTGTCTGTTTATGCTTGGCATAAAGGCATATGATTGACTAATATTAGCTTGTGCAGATTTGTAGTCTGCTTTCTCAGCAGACCTCCCTGCTGAGTGTAGGGCTGTTCTTGAACTGTGTGCATGGGTCAGGTTAGCCTCCTGTCAGACTTCAAAACTGGCTGCACCAGGGAATGGTAGAGTGGCCATCATCTGCCAAACTGAAGACAGATTTGCTATGGCACATGTACATTCATACCCCCAAACTGGTTATTTCTAGGAAGCTTGATTAGCTTCTTCTGAGCATTTCTTTAGTTGTGACCTGTGGATAAACACTGCCACTGTTCAGTTGCCCTGTATATGCGGAGGTAGGAGAAGAAAATAGTGGAAGATAAGGCAGATCAGAGGTTCCATAGCAGATCTGCAATTAATACTCAATCTACACCAAACTTTATACTCCTGCTTTGTTTACTCTTGAATACTGTAGGAGAGTGGGAAATGGCTTTCCAGTTAACCCTTTTAGGTTCCTTGGCTGGGCTACAAATGAAATGGACATAAGATGCATTAACAGGAGAAAAACTATATTTAATTATGTACATATGCATGGGAGTCTCGCAAAATACGAGATGCTAGGAGGATCTCATATTGAAGCTTATAGAGCATCCTGAGTTACAGAAAAGAATAGAAGCTTGGGGACTCTTGGTATGGGGTGGCACAACTTATGGGAGGGTCAGAGGAGGAATTGTAAGGTGAATAAAGGTCTTGATATACAGATATAAAAGTCTCTCAGGTAATGCAGTTTGGCTAGAAGCAGCTCTCAGAAGGAGAAGTGATAGTCTGTGTGTAAGGTCAGCCTCTAGTCTCCTCTTCTGTGATCTGAGTTGGTAAGTTTCTGGGAAGGAGATTCATGACCATTGAGTTCATTTTGGAAGATCTCTCTCTAGGGAGATAAGGGGAGATTAGAGAAAATCTCTGTCTGCATCTGCTCTTCCCCACAGGTTTCAGTTCAAAGTAATCAGCATACTAAAGTGTTATATTTTGAGGCAACATTCCCTGAGCTCCTTCAATCCAACACTTAGAATTCATTTAGGATTCAACTAAGGAACCATATTTTACCTTAGTTGAAGGAAACAGTCTTGTTGCAGTCAGCACTTCCCCATCATCTACCTGCTTTCTGTACTCCCGAAATTCATGTCCTGTCTTCTGATGATTATAACCTAGTCTCAAATTGTGATGGATTTTCCCAATTTGTATTTCTTTATTGTTATTTTATACTGTTTTGTACTTTTTAAGTCTCATTTCAGTGATGCTTACAGAAACCAAGAAGTAAAATGTGCCTTCAAAGGCTCATTTTGTCTACAGAGGCTTTAAACTTAAGAAACAAAACTTTCCTCTGAAATAATTTAGGACTGTACACACACACACGCACACACACATATATACAATCATGGAATAAAACAATTCTGTGAGGTAAAAGGAAGTATAAAATCAGTAGCTGATTAATAAATACTTGACTGATTCGAATATCCTGTCTAAAAGACAGTGATAGTTTTGGGATAGCACATTAAAAGAGTAATGTGGAAAGTTATACTGTTGGGCATGTATTATCTAAAGTCTTTGGTGAAAATTCATGTGTAATTTTTTTATAACATAGAATTGATCAATGATTTCAAAGGTAACAGGATACCCCAGCTGATGAGCTAGAACACAGCAATATACCTCTAGTCTTTAAAACAAAATAGCTCCAACCACTTTCTCAGATTTACCTATCCACATGGTCATGAAAACTTATACAAGGTTTATTGCAAATATATCTTGTAAGTAAAGTTACATGAAGCAATAAAATGTAGTAGTGCTTGCTTTACTGGGCAACTCTGGTCTTTACCAAGCTTTCTTTTCTTATACAGCAGCTATTAAGCTGGGATCCATAACTTTGTGTAACGTAATTAAATGGTAAAAGACTTTTAACATTTTTATGGGCTTATGAAATATTATTCCCCTGGTTCTTTGAAATCTGAAAGCAGCAACAGATTGGCAACTTAAAATATTGAAGATTTTTAAAATTAAACACATGGCTCTGTATGAGAACATTAAGAAAAATTTAAAGCAGCCAAAAATGTTGGCATTATTTTATTGAGTACTGAAAACATTGGTTACCTTAGACAGGCAATGATAGAGAAGGTTGGACAATTTCACTTCTGTAACCAATTGTGAAACTTCCAAGGTCTTGATTTTCTAGGTTTAGTTTCTGTGCCTTTGTCTGTTTTTTAATTATAAAATATAACAGCTGGACAGATCATTTACTTATGTCATTTTCTCCCCATCCCTTGATCTTTCCCTCCCTCTCCTCTTCTTTCTTTCTGGAAATTTAAAAAATACAGAGAAGTACAAGGAATTAAATGACAGACATTCTTACTCCCACTATTGACTCTGAATATTTTGTTTTATTTGCTTTCAGTTTTTTTTTTCCTATGAATACATGTTAAAGGAAATCACAGAAAAACCTACATCATTTTCTTAAATGAAAAAAAAGGTACAGATAAAACAGAAATTTTCTTTAGCATGCATCTTTTTCAAAAATATTCCCCAGTTCTGCGATGTAATCAATACTATAAATTAGTGTACTGTAAAGCCTTCACAGCTTTAAAAAATTATTTGTATATACTCTGTACATATCCACAGGATAACCATGGTATTGCTTTGTATATATTTTTAAATTATACATAAGTCATATCAAGTTGTTCATTTGTTATGCAACTTGCTTAATCCATGAACTATTATATTTTTGAGATCTATTCTTGTGGCTACAGATAGCAATAATTTATCACATTTAAAACCTGCATAACAGCCCAATATTAAATTCTATTTCAATGGATATAATATTGCTGACATTATTATTTTTTTTTGGTGGAGGGTTCGTATACCTGCTATATCTTTATCCATTGTTTTCCTTTTAGCATTATTTCATCTTAAGTGGATCTCATAAATAGCATAGAGCTAGATTTTTTTTTTAAATCTCGGTTTTCCCACTTTAAGTAGAAAAGTTTATCCCTTTTGCATTTATTGTCATTCATAATAAATATTAATCTGTTTCTTTCATCTTTTTTTAATTTTTATTTTTTTATTTTATTGCATTTTAGGTTTTGGGGTACATATGAAGAACATGCAAGATTGTTGCATAGGTACACACGTGGCAGTGTGATTTGCTGCCTTCCTCCCCTTAACCTATATGTGGTATTTCTTCCCGTGCTATCTCTCCCCAACTCCCCACCCCCCACTGTCCCTCCCCCATTTCCTCCAACAGACCCCAGTGTGTAGTGCTCCCCTCCCTGTGTCCATGTGTTCTCATTGTTCAACACCCACCTATGAGTGAGAACATGTGGTGTTTGATTTTCTGCTCTTGTGTCAGTTTGCTGAGAATTATGGTTTCCAGGTTCAACCATGTCCCTACAAAGGACACGAATTCATTGTTTTTGATGGCACATATACACCATGGAATATTATGCATCTTTTTTTTTTTTTTTTTTTTTTTACCATGCTCTTTCCTTGTTTTTTCTACTTTGTATCTTCCTCTTTCTCTCTCCCAATGGAATAGGGTGTTTTCTTAGATATATTTTTTTCTATTTGCTGGATTTCCATTTAAAATTATATTTGTTATTTTTTAATTATTATACAAACATTTAACATAAATTATAGTTCTAATTTTCTTAGCAAAGTCTCAAAATGGGAAGTTTATGGATAAAGAAAATTTATATTTTTCTAGTAAATGCCATCTGTGTTGTATTTGAGGTTTTCTTCTCTCTGAAAAAATTTAAGCTTAAGTAGAAAAGTTTAAAATTACAGGAAATAATTTGCAGATTGATGTCATTTGTGGAGCCTTTGAAAGACCAAGAGAGTGTAAGTAGGACCTGTTTCCCTTCTTCCCATTCAATGACTGTTGTTGGCTCACTGGGGAAAATAGTTTCCAAATTTTGCTGACCTAATGTGAGGTAAAGCTTATGAATAAGAACTTTTTGTACAAAGCTGTGCTGTCCAATATGTTAGCAGTTAGCTGCATGTGGGCTATTGAGTACTTGAAATATAGCTAGTGAATCTGAGAAATGCTTTGTATTGTTTTAATTTTTTAAATGTTGAATCAACATAATTTTTTTAATTAAACACAAATTTGTTTTGGCAGAACTATACTTTTACTTCACACATACATTTATGTTATTGCTGTAACAATTTACACAAATTTTTACACAATTTCTATATTGTGTATCTGTTAATAATTATAGTCATTTCAAT